TGAAGTATCCACTAATACAGCGACGAGTGTCGGTGCACTTAGCGTAGTCAGAATCGACGTAGGCTTGGAGAAGAGGCGCCGTAGATGACGGCAAACCACCGAGGGTGATGCCCATGGTCAACGTGCCGCGGATGTACGCGAGCACGGACTTGATGGCCTTGTAGTGACCAACCTGAGGTTTGGTCAGGTATTGGCTCAGTTGCTGGACGGCATGTGCCAGATCCGGTCGGGTACCAAGTACCAGGTACATAAACGAGCCCACCGCCGAACGGTATGGGAAAAGCGCTTCCTGTGCGGCAATCTTGGTGGGATCTGGATGCGGGTCCACGGAGGACAGATCCAACCCAGGAGGCAGAGGCGTCGGGGACGCATGACCTTGGAGGCAGTTGAATTTCTGGAGAATGTCCTTCATGTACTTCTCCTGGTGGATGAAGATCGTACGTTGGCGCCGATCACGGATGATCTGCCAGCCTAGGATATAGGCGGCTTCGCCAAGGTCGGTCATGTCGAACCGCCTGTGTAGAGCTTGACGAATGTCAGCGGCAATTGCCTTGGTGGGTGCGAAGATCAGGAGATCGTCCACATAGAGGCTGATGTAGATCATGCGGCCTTCGATCGTCTTAGTAAAAACGGAGCGTTCTTTTCGCGTGCGGACGAAACTTTGCTTGAGGCCGTAGAGTGCGCGGAGAAGGTCGCAGACCATCGTTGGATCGTCGGAGAACCCTTGGGGGGCGCGACAAACGTCGGCGTATCCCGGCTCATGAGGCCATTGAGGAAAGCCGTTTTGACGTCCATTTGGTAGATCTCGTAGTCGTCCATGGCGGCGATCGAGAAAAGCAGACGGAGGACCTCCATGCGGACCACGGGACTGAAAATCTCGTCGTAGTCGACGCCCTCACGCTGGCGAAAACCCTGGACGACCAGACGCGCTTTGTAGCGGTCGATGGTACCGTCAGCTTTGAGTTTGCGGGTAAAGACCCAGCGTGTCGGTAAGACCCGCATATGAGGTGACCGTTTGACTAATTGCCAGGTACGGTTGCGCATCAAGGATGCGTATTCCGCATGAGCGGCCGCAAGCCATTCGGCGCGCTCATGGCTGCGCATCGCTTCAGCCCAGGTAGTGGGTGTCGATGCGAACGGAAGTCCGTTGTCGGCCATAGCCGCAAGGGCAGCAGCGCCGGGAAAATCCTCGATCGGAACGGGATTGTCGACCGATTCGACGACCATTGCCATATGAATGGTCGGGATGGGTATAATAGGAGGCACATGGGCAGAAAGCGCCGTGTGCATACGTGCGGGATCGCCAGAGACGATGCGCTGGCGAGCCAGAGGATGATTGTGCGTCGGGAGTGGGTCGTCCACGTTGTAGTGGTATACAGCCGTGGTGTCGTTAAACCGAACGGTGCGAAGCCGCGGTGGAGCAAGCACATCACACGACGGCGTCTGTGCTGCCCATTTTTGCCACAGTAGTGTGGCCTCCCGAGGACGCAACGGGGGTGGTGTAACCGAGGTCAATGCGAAGTTGAATTCGGAGAATTCTTCGACTTCGTCAAGAGACGTATACAGTCGGTTCATGTCAGCCTGGGGCGCGATGGCCGACGCAGGGACGGCCGCAGGCGGGACGGGCGCCATGGCGGGTGTGGGTGGCGGGAGTACAGGATCCTCGGCACGTGCCGCAATGGGCGGGCCGTTCGGGTGACCGAGGACGGCCGGTTTTCGTTTACGGGCCAACGCCGCGTCATCGATAGAGGCAATGGAGGGAAATTCATCCTCGCGAAAACGTACATCCCGACTGTGGATGACGCGGTGGGTCGACGGAACCATGAGTTGGAAGCCCTTGTGGGCGTCGGCGACCCCGATGTATACGCATCGAAGGGCACGAGGATCAAGTTTGTCCGCACGTGCCGGCGCCTGGATATGCACCCAGGCCGTACAGCCGAAAACCCTGAGGTTGGTAAGCGAAGCGTGGTGTTTATGGACCATGAAGAATGGTGTACGCCCGTCGTTGGCCTCGGTTGGCGTAACGTTGACGAGATGGGTCGCGTGAGAAAGCGCGGCGCCCCACATAAATTTGGGGAGCGATGCGTCCAGGAGGAGCGCACGTACGCGGCAGAGAAGCGTGCCCATCATGCGTTCGGCCATGCCGTTTTGCTGTGGTGTGTAGGCGTTGGAGTAGACCATACGCGTATTGTACTTGGCGAAGATATCGCGTCCAAGTTTCTCATATTCGCGGGCATTGTCGCCCTGGAGCATTTGGATGTCGTGGTACTCAGTGTACGTCACCGACTCCGGGTCCTTGCGAAACAGAGCCCGCGCATCAGCACGGAAAGTCTCATAGACTTTGTAGATCTCAGAACGACTCGCGAGGAGGTACGTTCACAAGTAGTGAGTCGCTTCGTCGAGGAAGATCACAAAATATGTGGCACCCGACGGAGTCGGGACCTTCACAGGACCCCACATGTCCGTGTGAACGCGAGCCAAAGGCGTCGTCGCTGGCGGAGTAAGGGACTCCTTCGGAAAAGGTAGTCGCTTGGACTTCGCCTGGATGCAGACATCGCAGTTATGGGACGGCATGCGGCCGGTACCGCTAAATGCCGTGAGTTCCGGGTGATCCCGGATGAGGGTGCGCATAGCCGCATCGCCTACGTGACCAAGTCTGCGATGCAAAGGCTTCAAGACACGAAAAGTGTTGAGTGCAGATTGCATTTCGGGGTGAGCGAGGTCGTGGACGCTCGCAAGACTAATAAAGTCTTCGACACTATTTGGTAGGGGATCATGGTCACCCGGATGACCTACGTCAAGGTCATCCCTATCCAGAGGATAGTGTGTGTCGTACCCGTCGGCGAGAAAGCAAAGTGCGGTACCCGGAGGTCCAGGCCACTTGGGTGCGTCGCGCACGATACCGTGGAGTTCATCAGTTGTCCCACGAGTGTGAGTCTCGAGGCGGCGTTGGATGGTCGCACGAAGAGCCAGCATAGCACGGTGAGCCTTGTCCGGAGACACCGTGGAGGAGGGAACCGCGGAGGTTGACCCCGGCAACGGAGTGCCCGTAAAGCAGTATAGATGAGACTGCGGACCACGTGGCGCAATCACATGCGCTTGCCGCGGGCAGTCGCGAAAGGTGAGGAAGCACGACGCGGCCGAGCGGAAATCGGGTTGGATCCCGTCTTGGAACGAGGCGCCCACCGAGAACAAGTTGAACTTGAGGTCGGGTACATGCAACACTTGACGCAACTCCATGGTACGCGTAGTCACCGCTCCAGTGTTGTCTCGCGTTTCGACGGTGAATATCACCAAGCCGATACCTGCGACACGGAGTCCATGGTTGTCGCCTACTCGGAGGTAGGACTCTTGGGGCAGGTACTGGGCGAACCAGTCCGCGCGAGGTGTGCAGTGGGCCGAAGCTCCACTGTCAACGATCCACGTGGTTCCGTCAAAGTTCTTGGTGTAAGCGACGGAGTTGCGCGACGTGAGAGCGAGGTAGTACTTGTCGGATCGGTGTGGCGCGACATGGAGGGTCGGCGCTGGCGGTAGCGAGCCGAGGTAGGCTGGTCCGTCGAGACGCGAGAGCTCTCCGAAGATGAGCGCGTCCAAAGTCGGTGCCACCGGAGGATCCGTCGCGGGAGCAGATGCCACCGGCCCCGTCGAGTGCGTGGATGCGGCGCCGGACACACTGGTGGGCTCCACGGAGGATGCAGCCACTCCCGGTACACTGTCAACGGGTTGAGCAGTGACCGTCGCGCCTCCCGACATTAGAAGGTCCGCGGGGGAAACCAACTCATCGGTCGGAGCGCTGCTTGTGGTTGAGGCAACCGAAGCAAGCGCCGTATCGATACGTGCACTAGGTGCAGTAGAAACACTAGAGTACTGGGAAGCACGCGTCGTGTTAGCCGGGTTACCGCCGTTATGGGCAGACGAGGAGCCGCGCGACGGGCGCGCTTGCGAGGGGCTACGATGACGCGAGGGCTCGCGCGAGTGGCGCGGAGCAGAACGGCGCTCATCTCGGCGGCCGGAGCCAGCGCGAGGAGGCGATCGAGATCGCGATCGGGCGCGACGGTCATCACGCGGGCGGCGGTCGTCGTAGTCGCCACGGTCATCGTACCCACGTCGGTCGTCACGGTACTTGTCCATGCTGCTTGTTCTGCTTGGCGAACAGTCGCTTGTAGTCGGCGGTATCGGGAAAACCCGGCGCCACCGTGTCGTCGGTGCAGTGCTTGGAGAGCGTGTTGCAGAGGTAAGTCGGGTGGTAGATGATGGACTTCTTCGTAAAGTAGCAGTACGTACACACACCCGTGTCGAGAGTCGCCAGCTTGGCGAGCACGGTTGGCTCGGCCGCAGACGCGAGGTTGACCGTAGCCTCCATCGCCTTGGCCGTAGATGTACGTCGGGTTGGTAAAGTACTCGACGAAGCCTTGCATCCGAGCGAAGTCGAGGATAGCCGGCGACTTGGTCGGGAAGTCGTCCATCGTCGTGATCTGGGGGCCCGCGTAGTCCAAGAGACGCAGCGCGGAGCTGCCCGCCAGTTGGGGCGGGAGCACGGGCTCGGGCACCACGATGACGTACGGGGGCAGTTTGTCTGTCGGAGGGGTCTCCGGCGTATGAGAGCTCATAACCTAACAAACTAGCAGCTCGGCTAGTGAAGCACTCGGCAGAGAGGAGAGGAAGAGGAAGAAGAAAGAACCACTCAAAGGCACACGGAGATGTGTGC